GAAATGAAAGTATCATGCGTGGTTAGTAAGATATCACATTAAGCTGTAAACATGTTTCAATAATCATTAGCCAGAGAAAACAACAGCAATATTCTACACAAATGACAGCAAAACATATTATATTATAACAAAACCGCAATCTAACCAAACGTCATTTCGTCCCGTGAGTGACCGGACATAGACTGAATGTACGATATTAGCGACTAAGAAAATAACCAGCCAAGTGCAAGTCGGACTCGCGCATGAAGGTTTTCGTACCATCGTAATACACGTTTCTAGTAGGGGAGCCCCATTTAATTTTAAATGTATTTTTATTATTTGTTGTTATAGCGGCAACAGACTCTGTGAAAATTTCCACTGACAGACGGATATATATATATATAATAGTGACAACACTGAGCTTCATCGTACGTTCAGCAGTATTCTAGTATATTACAGTACGTGCGTGTGCATACATATAATTATGTCCAGCACAATTGATAGCTTCTAATAATATTCGGGGGCCACAACAGCCAAGGGAACAACTTTAGATGACTCACTAAAGTACTTAAGTAATAATTATAATTATTATTAATAGTCAAATTGAAATGATTACGTTATCGCTTATAAAAGCGTTAAGAACACCGCAGTTACCAACTGAACTATTTTAGATAATAATATCTATATCAGTAATTTATTAGAAACGTCATATCAACCCAAATTAGCATATTAACCCAATAGTATATGAAGGAAATACCCCGATTTCTATTTCAAAAATTAATACAACAAAATCTGACATTAAGTACAAAGAAAATACATTTGATAATTCTAAAAAATTATTGTATTATTTAGTTCAAAGAACAGCACCCAGGATTTTACCTCGTATGACGGCATCGGACAATCGTTTATTACCTACTTCGTATTGTTGTTTTAATGCCAGCAACAATTTACCAGGAGCAAGTGGTAAATGGTTTACTTTAGCTATTTCCATAGCATAATGTCGTATGGTATTTTGATATGGGGACACACTACTGACACTGAAATTATATTTGTTTACAGAAGAGGGCCATAAGAGCAATCTATGATTTAAAACCTAGAGTCGCTCCGACAAAAAGGAAATTAACATATTAATTTTGGCCTCTCAATACATCCATGAAAATGTAATGTACGTAACACAGAAATAAAGGTAGTTATACAAAAATAAGTGATATTCATTCTGTAAATACTAGGAACAGAAACAAGTTAGTAGTAACAGTTACTCGACTCCACCGAGTCAGTAATTCATTCTTGGGGCGATGTATACTCTTTTACAACAAAATCCCAGAAAATATACAAAATTTAACCTGTTCAAAGTTCAAAAAATTTATTAAACAAAGTTTCTATGAAAAGAGTTATAGGAATTTATAGATAATAATAACCCATGGGAATGAGGTGATAGCTACCAAGCTATATCTAATTTGTTTTGTGTGGTTAATTGTGATTACATGATTGTAAGCTGTTATTTAAAAAGTTCCACTGGGTTTGTTGCTGGTTCTTCCCAGGACAGAGGTTTTTTATCGAACCAGTAGTAATTAAACAAAAGAGTGACTTTCAATAATTATTATTTATAATCTATATTGAATAAAAGTTTCTGTTTATGTTAATTATTATCAAAATGGCATAGCAATTATTAGTAAATTATATGTTTTATTTTTAAATTGAATAACGAAATAGTTCCTGGTAAAATAATTATTTTTTATTTTTAAAATATAGGCAGTAAAGAAACTAAAATGCTACTTTGGCAATGACATTTATTTGTTTACACAAAATTCAAAATATAAATCATAGTACTGGCACATGATGGAATGTAGTTCTGCCAGTATCGACTTGAACACGACACATCAAATCGGCTGCATTGAAGACAATTCATACGAGAACAATAATGTTTTAAAACTCCTAGGACAGTTTTGGTTACCAGCCTTTGATTGGATCGTTAGCCACAAATGCTTTAACTTTCTTAAATATTATTTACCATGAAATATTTACGTGGTAGAGCCATGCAGCAGATATATTACTGGTATAGTTGTAGCACGAATGGGTCGGCTCGACCGGGCAAGGACCACGCTCTCACATAATACCAGCGTAAAATAGCAGCTAAACGCTGCTGTGTTTCGTATGGTGAGTGTAGAGAACCGGAGACCCATCATTATCATCATTACAGCCCTTCATAAGTCCACTGCTGAACATAGGCCTCCCCAAGGAATGCCACCGGAGACACATTTTATTGGAAACCAGTCATTCCATCTTAGTCCTCACGGATGACAACGCACCTGTATTTTTATAGATAGATATAGATGTCTATGGGCCACCGCAACCACTTATCATCAGGTGGACTGTGTGCTCGTTTGTCACCCTTATCCTATAAAAAATACACTTCTACAATTTTCAACATTATAAATAGAACCAGTACGTATGTATATAATATAATGTATATAATATAATGCTAGCCTCGTCTTTTTACTAGTACCATGGAGCACGAAAGGGATCGGGGACGGACCACGCTCACACGGAACACCAGCGTTAAGCGACAATATAAAGCAGTTGTGTTTCGTATGGTGATTGTCGAAAACCGGAAACCCTTTTCTACCGACTTCAAAAAGGAGAAGGTACTCAATTCGACTCTATGTTTTTTTATGTGTGTTACCTCATAACTTTGTTCTACGTGAACCGATTTCGATGATTCTTTTTTTAATTGGAAAGCTGGTGATTCTCATGTGGTCCCATATAAATTTGATCAAGGTCTGACCAGTAGTTTTTGATTCATTATTAATAATTTATATTGAAGTCGGTTGTACAAAATTTTTAATTTTAATTTATTAGTAGTAACGATGCATTCCGTCTTAGTCCTTAGGGATAGGAATATGAAGGAATGCAGATTTTGATTCTTAATGGATTATTGATATAGATGTTAATGGATCACAGTGTCACTGAACATTTGACACACCGTGTTTTTTTTTTATAGGATAAAGATGACAAACGAGCACTCAGTCCACCTGATGGTAAGTGGTTGCTGCGGCCCATAGACATCTACATCTATCCTCTGTTACAAATCAAAATGTAGATGCGTTGTCACCCGTGAGGACTAAGATGGAATGCCTGATTTCCAGTAAAAAGGGCCTCCGGCCACCTGCACTCACCAAGCGAAACGCAGAGATAAACCTCTACTTCACGCTGGTTTTCTGTGAGGTCGTGGTACTACCCCGGTTCGAGCCGGCCCAACCGTGCGACAGCAAAAGCTGCCGCGTGGCTCTACTACTGTTAAAATGTGCATGTTTGTCATTCCTTACTTTTATAGGGGAAAAAGGTTTATTTTTATAGAGAGATCCCATTATTATAAACGAGCTTACAAAAACTTTTATTTTCAAAAGGAAATAATCGTGCATGTACTTTATAAGATAAATTTTCATTTTATTATCAACTGTTATTGTAATAAAGGTAAGCATAATATTATAAAAACATATTGATTTGTTTCAAATGAAACATCTGCGCATTAAATATCGCTATTTATAAAGAAACATTGATTCAATGACGCTTTCAGTCCTTACTGATATCACGATGACCTCAATTGTAGCGGCTCAGAATAAAAAATAAAGCATACATACAAATGCAACTGAATTATTTTCATCACGACACGACACACATGTACACTTTGCACAAAGTTTTTTTTTTTGTGTCTATATGGGTGACAAACAAGAGAACAAGAGTTCGGAGATAGGTAGTAAATGGATGCTGTAGTCTTCAAATAGATACATTAATCCTTTTTTATTTACGATTCAAATTAAATAAAAAATTTATTACGAATCAAAATACAGATGCGTTATCTCCTCTGAGAACTAAAATGGAATGTCTCGTTGCCAGTAAAAGAGTTTAATATCATAATAAACCAGGATTATAAACAATTCTTCTGTCCGTGTGTATGTGACTGAACTCCTCGTAAACGGCTGGACCGATTTTGATGAATTTTGTGCGTGCGATTAGGTGTTGATTCGAGAATGGTTTAGATTCACAGTTGGATCCGGTAGATGGCGCTGTTGTCGAGATACAGAAATCTCCCGTGCGAAGCCGGGGCAGATCGCTAGTATTATTTTTAAACAATAATCATCCTTAACCAATGTTTAAAACCAAATTTCATATAACATTTATTAATAAATAGGCCAAAGTTTGACTCCAAATGTATTTTCATATTATTTTTATATTATTAAGAAAAGTTGTTTACAAAGTTGTTCACATATAGTAGATTAATAAAAGACATGCTTAGGAAGTTTCCGATAAAACAGCAAACAATTGTCTTTTAACTTAAATTACCTATAGCACGGGACGATATGGGCTAAAATTCACTTTAATATAATACAAGTCGCGGCACGTAAATCTAGCTCTGAACGAAACGTGGAGGCGACGCGCACGAATTGAATTGCACGAATGCGACTGGAGAGACAATCAGCGTGTGCGAACGATATGCACGAGCCAATCAGCGCGACTTATGCGCAATAACGGTTCACAGCTAGACTTTCGTGCCACTACTTATAGTCTAGTACTATTAAAGATATAATAAAATCCGCTTCGGTGCTACTCACTCATTTAATTAACAACTCTGCAATGACGAACAAGATTTGCATTTTGTTGATAGCTAGCATTTGGCACATACTAATGGAACGCACAATCTGGTAACTTGCTTTTGCTGTCTTAGATGTTATGTCGGAGATGATCGTTCTAATTTGTAAAAGAGGTATTATGCCATTTCGAATTAATTGTACTATCAAAAACTTGAGTTTCATACTCTAAATATTTTTAAATTTCTTTTGAATTGGCTCTAGACGTTGTATGTATACCGAATATCATAAATTCAAGATTTGTAAACTATAATCCAATATGCTACGCACTTGTAAACACAGTAAAGAAAAATTTTAAAGTTTTGTTTGTACAAATCTCATACTTAAATGATTATTTATTATGGATACACTTGTTTTTGGTAATTTACTTACCGTTGAAGAAAAACTTAAGTCGATTTGCATATACATGTACCACTGGGATATTTAGTTGTTCTGCCACTGGGTCTATGAGACAACGGAAGCCTCCGGACACTAAGTACACCGTCACTCCCCTGTCTTGTAACTCCTTCACCAACTGCCTAAAATTAAACGTTAACAATAACGCATCGTAGAAATAATCTTATAAAAGAAGTAATTTGTATTTAGTATAAGGTTTAAACTAGAATCTGTTTAACGAAAGAAGTCCCGCGAAAATAAGTGAACGAAAATTTTAAAAATATTTCATAAAATTTAGTAGAACTAGTCATCATTACTGCCCCTCACAAGTCCACGGCTGAACATAGGCCTCCCCCAACGAATGCCACAAAGCACGGTCCTGAGCCACCTGCATCTATCGACTTCCTGCGTGTCTTACCAGGTCGTCACTCCATCTAATGGGGGGTCACCCTACACTTCGCCTACCAGTACGAGGCTGCCACTCGAAAACCTTTCTTCCCTATCGGTAGTCGGTTCTTCGAGCTATATGGCCGGCCCACTGCCACTTCAGCTTACTAATCCGTAGGGCTTTATCGGTCACTCTGGTTCTACTGCCGATATACTCATTTCTAAGTTTATCACACAGGGAAACCCCTAGCATAGTCCTTTCCACAGCTCGCTGAGCGACCTTGAGCTTCCTCATACGGCCAGCAATGAAGGACCACATCTGAGATCCATAAGATCCAGTCAAACACAAATAATGATAATGTCCTTCGCACCAAATATCGCACAGCGCCCAGTCCCAACAGATACTAACTATCTGCACAAGCACATGCACCCACTATTCCCTCACTCTCATAGTCCAATGGGACGCTATCGAATTCAACCGGATAGAGATCAGGTGCAGGGCCAACAGCTTTAAGTGCTTTAGGAGGCACAGGGTTGAAACACCACTCCTGACTGTTAAAGAGAATTTGACAGAAAAAACCCAATAACTAATTTTCTCCTGACCTGGGACCACATGACTAACAGAATCGATTAGGTTTACTAGACCGACAGATACTTTCAAAGATGAAATACTTTACTGCTGTTGAACCATCAAGCCTATGTTTTTTTTAAGAATCTTCACATTGATGTGTTAGTGATGACGGCCAGTTCAAATTCGAGAACAGCGATATTTCCAAATACTATCAGAATCGATTACATTATTAGTAATCATAATCTATTAACTGCGCAGGAGATATAATGCTACAAATGTACGCACAAAAACAACGGTATTCACTAGCGACCCCCAGTCACATCACACAGATAATTACCTTGCTAAATACCACGAACACTTCGACAAATAAACCTATATTTATAACATAACATTGGTACGTCCTTGACAACTTGCCTTAATTCCATCTATCTTCCGAAAGAAAGAAACAGATTAGGCTATCAACCGCCCGTAACGGCATACGGTTCAGCCGAGGTCGAGTCACAGTCACAGATAAGCGACGCAGTCAGAGAAGCGGTGCGGACTGGATAATGATTAGTTTACATACAGAGCATACTGCGCGGTGATGAAATGTAAACAATGAGTTAAGTGGGTCGATGACTCTATTTGCGAAAACAATTGAGCACAGAAAGTAATTTTTTTCCTCGGAGAATAAAAAAGCGAGCCTTACAGTAGTCGCATAATTATGATGTGTAACATCTGACATCTCACCTTGGTAGTTAGCAACATTATATCCTGAAAAATGCTACTTGTTTTTTCTTTAATCAAAATTAAAAATATCAATTGAGAAGCGACAGATATTAACCTCAAAGTTAAAAAAAAATAAATACTAAAATATTCATTCGAATTAATATTCATTATTATTCACTTGCATTTTTTATCAATGATCTGCAATTTTTCAGGAACTTATTATCAACATTACATTTATTAATATATAAAAAAAGTTCACATATATAAATTACTTTAAGCACACTTTACTACCACCGCGCGCGCTCATGGGTCAAATCAAAAAGCGCGCGCTTCCCCCTCTTCCTGTTACACACTTCCGTCCCTTTTCACGAAATCAGTCCCACATATTGCGTGAAAGCGGGAGGAAAGATCTTACACATCAAAAAGTTTGTAATTGTTTATTTAAAATAGCAATATCAAACCTCAAGTGTCTTATAAAATTTCTGTAACGTTGAAATTGATAACAGCAAAATTTATACTAATAATAATATTTGTTTTAATTAGGTTAAAAAATTATTTAAGAGTAATGATGCTGTGACACATGGACAGTAATATCGAACAAAATTATAAGATTTAACTGTACGACAGGCACGACCAAGTCAAAAAATAAACAAAACACCTTCATCGAAAGTTATAGGACTTTGCATCTCAAAACTAATTTCAGATTTTAAAATTTTTGTAATAAACGTTACGGAAAACCTTAATATATATATAATTATAGCCTTAATTTAAGCTCTATATAGTGTCTATAGCGTCATCTAAATAAGTATGGAAACCAACTTACGATATTCCTGGCGTGAGATTTATGGGGAATGTCTCTATAAACTGTCTGATCTGGCTGACACTAGGCCTGATGATGTCTAGCCTCTTCTTTAGTGCTTCTTGGAATGTCATACTGCCTCCCATTGCCTCCGCAGTACTGTAAGAATTTTTTAATTAGTATACTCGTAAAATCTTGTTCAATATTGTATTGTCGATTTTTTTTGCATATCATATAACCAATAGAATCACTTTATTCACCTAGCCTAGCTCAGCGCAGCTCTAGTGGAAACGGCTCAGTCTAGCGAGATTTTTGTACATACAAAACAAGGGAAGAATGCGTGCGAGGGATGTGTTTCGAGGGATGTATACGAGGTATGTGTTGCGATGGATATATGCTAGGGGCGGACGCGAGCGAAAAAATAGCAGTCACTAGACGGCAGCACAATACACATCCTCGCACCACTCATCTGTGCACCGTTTCACAGCGTCGCAACGCTACGCATCGTCGCACCGTCCAGCTCTACCTCGCACATATCTGGTGGAAACGTAGCCTTGAGGTGTTAATTAAAGAATGGGCTGAATCGACAGCGAAAGAACCACGCTTCGCAGAAGAATACCAGCGTAAAAAAGCATATGACTGCTATGTTTTGTATGGTGAGTGTTGAAAATCGAGAACCAAAGACAACCTGTGAATAGGCCAGATAACAGTGCCTTCCATGTACTTTTTTTTTATATAGAATATGACAAACGAGCACACTGTCCATCTGATGGTAAGTGATTGCTGTTGCCCATAGACATCTACATATATCTTCGTTTGCGAATCAAAATGCAGATGCGTTGTCAGCCGTGAGGACTAAGATAGAATGACTCTTTTCCAGTGAAAAGGGTATCCGGTTCTCTACAATCACCATACGAAACACAGCAGCATTAAGCTGCTATTTTACGCTGGTATTCTGTGAGAGCGTGGTCCTTCCCCGGTCGAGCCGATCCATTCGTGCTACAACTATACTATTAATATAGCTGCAGCATGGCTCCCACGTAAAAAAAATCTCTTATTTGCAAGAACAGTCACACAGTTTCTTTAAATATATTCGATGCAAATAAATGTATTGTCTTTGAAATAATAAAGCAATATCATAATGTTAGATGGATTGGATGTATTAAAAAATTAAGACATCCATTAGAGATATTTATTTAAATATTACTTTCTTTGAAATCATCTCAAAATTTTATTACATTATTCGTCTCCCTTTATAGTTACGTATCTACGTCTAAGCCACATGTTATTGAACGTTTAATTGCGTAACATAACATAGAGCACGTCAAACAATTACACTATTGTTTAAATTATGCGTCATTAAGAATTCCCTCCCAGCAACAGTCAACCTGTCCTATCAATAATCATTATTGCCCGCGACATTACAGCTAAGTATTACATAAGGTAAATGAAAAATGAAGGTCGTTTATTATTACATTTAAAAACAAACAAGTTATTAATTAAATTATGGTTTTACATTTGAAATGATAGATAAGAAATTTTTCCACGTTTATCAGGTTTAGTGTCACGATGCGTTTTATTAACTTTTAAAATATTATCTATTTTCGATAACACGTAAATTATTTTTTTCGTTACTCATCCTTCCATCTTAATCTTTCTTTGTCTTTTATTTCTCTTTTTTTAATAAGGATATTTAAAATCTATGAAATTGGATGTATAGAGTAGAGTAAGACCTAAGAAAAGATGGATGGATTGTTTTAGGGATGATATGCGTAAGAAAGGATTAAGTGAGGAAATATCAGCTAACAGTGGAGATTGGAAGAGGAAGACATGCTATACCGGTCCAAAATAACTTGGAATGAGGAGAGGAAGGAAAAGAATAAGAATATATAAATTGCTCATAATATATCAACAGATTGATGTAATGCAATGCAATGCTAATAAAGGTACCAATACTTCTTAATGTTCATTTACACCATATGAAACACAGCAACATTAAACTGCTATTTTACCCTAGTATTCCGTGAGAGCGTGGTCCTTCTCCTACCGACGTGACTCATTCGTGCTACAACCACAATATAGCTGCAGGGCTAGCATGGGCAGGAGACAATTATATCACAGGGGAAAGGAGAAAATGTTTATCCCTTCACTTAGTTTTATCCACCCTTCGAGCATGGGCACACCGGTGGATTGGATATAATATCCACAGTAGATAAAATGGGAGATCGACTTAAACTTAGATAGATTTTTTGTATGAATATAAACTTAAACCCACGTCCAATGAACTAGGATAGAATTGTCCCTTTCAAATGTCAAAACAGCATAAGTTTTTATCTTTAATTTGGCTCCATGCTACGGACGGGGAATATATGTCAACTCGTTATATCAAACGGGGATATACTTCTCCCCGTTGCCGTGCTTTGGCATAGGGACAAGATAATTTTGTCTCTTGACGATGGATATAATCAAAGGATAAAAATTTTGTCTTCAGCCCATGCTAGCCGTGCTGCAGTGTGTTAGGTAGTTAGTTATTCCTGATATCAACTCAATAATATTAAAAGCTGCGGTTGCTGGTTGGCGGGCGCCTGCCAACCGTGCCAACGAAAGCAAATTACCGCCCTATGATACCGAAATGTACTACTATAATAGGATAGTTAATAGAATCAGGCTTTACTTAGTGAAAATCCATTATATTAAAGTTGGTAAAAATTATTTTGCTTATATCCGCTTAATGAAATAAAATGATGTCTTACCTAGTATGAAGAGCACCTCCCGCCTTCCCTCAATTGCGTGCACTATCCCCGTCACCACTAATCCCTGCGAGTCTACTTCACCTGAGGATGCCTCGTATAGAGGCGAAACACGTGTCGTATTATCGACGGTGGTGTGTCTTTACTAGTGTAGTGGTGTTGGGAGTAGTGGTTGTAGGATTAGTGGTGACGGGGATAGTGCACGCAATTGAGGGAGGTCCGGAGAGACATCATTTTATTTCATTAAGCGGATATAAGCGAAATATTTTTTACCAACTTTATTATTTTTTTATAGGAGAGGGGGCAAACGAGCATGCGGCTCACCTGATGGTAAGTGACTACCGCCGCCCATGAACAACTGCAACACAAGGGGAATTGCAGATGCGTTGCCGTTGATATAATAGGATATTAAAAGTCAAGTGTTACACGTGTTGCGATCACAAATAGAGCGAACCCGCTAAATCGACATATTGGGAAGAATCGTAAATTTCAACTACGGACAGTTTACGTGGTTGATTTTTTCCGGTTTAAGGAAGGTTCCGTTATAATATATCTTTTACTGTTAAAGATGTTATAGCAGATGCAAATTCACAGGCTTCACAGCCAGTATAATCAAAGGTTGCGAGGCCACTTTATAAAACTGAAGTGACAAACGAACTTACAGTTCACCCATCTGTAGCTATCCTTGTATATTCATACAAGGATAGCTACAGATGGGTTGTCATGTCTGATGTGTTGTCACTTCTGAGAACTAACATAGAATGCCCCACAGTATGTTTTGTTATCAAAGTGTATGTTAAGGCAGAGTTGGGAAGGGACGCCCTAGACGGAAGTTTATCGACCAAATTGGCGATATATTGAAAATCGTTTAGATTAGGAGTACCCTTAACCGACGAGCATGTACGATATATGGATGTAAAAGAGGCGAGAGAGGTGTGTAAGAATCATGCCAATGAATATGTATTTATATGTACGTTATTAGCCCTGCTACCTTCACAAGTTCATCGCAATAGACTCGTAAGCGAGAACTTACGAACTGTTAAATGCGACAATTCTGCCAATAGTACCGAGGCACCCCTACCGTGCTTTTGGAGGGAGGCTCATTGTGATTCAAGGGATTCCTCTCAGAAGGAGGTACGATCCTCGGCTTGAACCACTATCGGAATAAAGGAAAGCCTTTATAAAGGAAGGAGACAGGGCTTTATACCCTTCCGATCGAATCACAGCAGTGCAAGCACTCGACATTCCTTCTGTAGTTGACAGAATAGATGGGTGTTATATACCACAAATAATTTCAAAAAGTTTGTAGGCACAGCAATAGCAAAAATTTTTAATATAATTCTAAAAGCACTATTTATCAAGCGCAATATTTTATGAATCTAAAGCCGCGTATCCACCAAAAATGTTGACAACAGTTATGTTTCCAATTGTTTACAACTGTTTCCAACAAGCGTCTCACCGAGGGAACAAATGTTGGCAACAAGCGTATTCCTTTGATGTTGCCGCCGAAAATGGAAACAAGTTTTGTTGGTAACAGTTGTGTTAGCAACAAAACTTTGGTGGAGACGCAGCTTAACAAACACAATACTTAAGATTATTATGTACACATAATACTTTGTTTTGCATTCTATAATTACGTTTGATAAATACATTGCATTTTATAATTACGATTGATAGCACGCGTAATTAAAGCAATTAAAATAAAACACTGTTATAAGAAAACATAAATAAAAATAAGCACAGGCATTAAACTGAAGAGAGGTAGCTCAGGGATTAAGCGCTCGCTGTGAATTTCACAATACACGAGCAACCCAGGTTCGATCCTTGCTGGCACCAATTCAATTGTGATTTGTAATTTTAAGCTAATTTGCTGAGTGGGCACTTGGCGGTGAAGAAAAATATCGTGAGGAAACCTGCATGTGAAGTTCACGTTGTGAACCAGTTCGGTGGTTCACAATGAACCACCGCATTCTATTTCACCTGATGACGCCTCGTTTAGAGGCGAAACACGTGTCGTATTAACGACGGTGGTGTGTCTTCCATAGTGCAGTGGTGTGAAGATTAGTGGTAACGAGAATAATGCACGCAATTAAGAGAGGGCGGAAGGAGCTCTTCAAACTATGTAAGCATATACAAATTTTATTTTATTACTTAGCTTATTATTAGCTAATTAATGTATAACATCTATATTAAAAATAATTTCCAAGACATTAATTTTATTTATTTTACGTGGTACATACATGCTGCAGCTATATTAGTAGTATAGTTGTGGCACGAATGGGTCGGCTCGACCGGGGAAGGACCACACTCTCACAGAGTACTAGCGTCAAATAGCAGCTTAACACTGCTGTGTTTCGTATGGTGAGTGTAGAGAACCGGAGACCCTTTTTAATGGAAACGAGGCATTCCATCTTAGTCCTCACGGGTGGCAACGCATCTGCATTTTGATTCGCAAACAAGGATAAATGTAGATGTCTATGGGCCACAGCAACCACTTACCATCAGGTGGACTGTGTGCTCGTTTGTCACCCTATACTATAAAAAAATGACATGTGAATTCCGCCGACAACCATTGAGGCAACACAGGGGATAATTCCTAGCCCTAAAAATTGCTTTCAGAAATGAAAGTAGGCCTGTGCCCGGTTATTATATATGAAGTGTTAATGTTTAACAGAGGACAGTTACCTGCTGATGACGATAACATTTAAGGATATTTAGGAACAAACATAAGCAAAAATTCCCAACTAAAAATTGTATTTGATTGATCTGACACATGAAAATATATAAAAATCACTCATAACTTCATTTGTATTATTTTTTTTTAAATACGTCGTACTTACAGCCTTTTAACTTCGTCCCCCTTGCCGCAAAACCTGGCCAACTCGTCGATGCCCTCGTCTTGTATCACAGTGGAATCAACATCAAAACAAACACAGTCGGCCGTACGGAACAGCTCCTGCACGCTCTGTTGTGGCGACATGATGCTGATCGACACCAGCGACAGCGTCTTAAGAGTTGCGTACTGCAGATTGCTTTTTAAACTGTAAAGAAACAATTTGTCATTAAAATATCGATTATTATAGAATATATTTAGCCACATACCATATTACCCACCCACAATTACAGATAATAATAATAACATATTTTTCTATGTACAAGTAGAATTATGAAGAATATTAAAACTATGCTTTGAAACCCCACCCCAAACAATAGGTACAAGGGAACGTGCGCTACTGAATTATTAATGTATCATGCAAATATATTTATGTTTTGTTTTAACATTTTATCATTTTGAATGTGATAGAAATTTCTAGTGACTGACAATACATTGAAACCGCAAATAGCGGATACCATGTGTATTGTGCGAGTTGTGGTTAGTAGCAAAACAATATTGCATGAGAACTAGAATTATGGAAATAAACTCATATAAACAAGACTTGTTTAGTGTTTATCTATGACAGCTTTATAAACACTAAAAACACTTTCAATGACCACTATTTTATGTTGACCATGAGCTAAAATCTTGTTTTTTTGTTGAAATTGATTCCAATATTCAATTCGGAAAAAAATATAACATTTTTTCCGATAGCAATATTAGAGTGAGGTTCAATAAAAACATTCTTATATTTAAATCACATCTGATTATATTTCAATCATGCATTAACATGCGTTCTAAATTTAAAATATACCTGTATAGTGCCATTTTCACTCTTCTCAAGTGTGTACAAAATATAAACAACTTTCTACACTGAGCGACACAAACGCAATGCGACAATATCACAATTAAAGTTAAAGAGAACCTTATTAAAACCCGTTTGTTGACTACCGCGTACACGCCTCCGTTGAATGTGATATCATAAAGTACAGTGCACTCGGCCCCCCTTTATCGCCTTATATTCACAAGCCTCCGGAGATAACGTTGTGATGCCGAGCTACAACACTGCTATCTGTGAGCTACGTACTATGAATGACGTAAAAACCTCATCTTCATTAAAAGACATACGGCCAGACACAAGTAAAAATTAAAGTAGGGGCGCGCAACCAGCGTTTATCTCACTCACTCGCGATAGAAGCGTATGGAATGTTTGTGGAAACACTTGTTTTGCGAATTTCGATTAACGCAAAACCGATAAGCTTGAAGATAAACCTTAATATGTCCAAGAAAAAAATAAAACCATTGAAAATAACTTGTTTTGAAGCGTAATTTCTAACTTAATAGTCCGGTAAGCACTTCATAGTCTGTGGTTAAACAGTCGCACAAAGTAGAGATTGTCGCCAAAAAATTTCAAAATTTAATCAACAATTTTTTTATATAAAAAAATACTAAATCGATGCTATTGATCGATGTCGATCAATTGGTGTGGTAGCTTTAGCTGAACGACGGACTACTGGTCGATGAAACGTTGTTCAATCATCGATCGACGTCGATCGAAAATTAATCGATATTGAAATGGGGTCATCATCAGTATCTTTCAAAATTTATTCAGAAGAGAACCCGTTATTGTAGGCCAGTACGCTCTTGCTCGTATTATTATTATTACGGAGCGGCTAACGCAGAAGACTGGATGCGACCGTTTTTCTGCAGACTTCCAAAAAGGAGACGGTACTCAATTCGACTGTAAGTTTTTTTATATGTGTTACCTCATAACTTTTTACTGGGTGAACCGATTCCGATGATTCTTTTTTTTTATTTGAAAGCTGGTACTTCTCGTGTGGTCCCATATGAATTTGATCAAGTTCAGACCAATAGTTTTTGAGTTATTCTTAATAACTTATATTGAAGTCGGCAGTACAACATTGTTAATCTTAAATTATTAAGGCCAGAGATAACGTAAATTCATCTACACGACATTTTAAATGTTAGTCGGTGGTGCAAGGCGGATTTCCGAATCATCAAGCTGCTCGATCGACGTAGACTAATCCTTTCCACTATCGATCGATCGGTGTGGTAGAAACTATCGATCGACGTCGACTAATCCATTCCACCATCGATCGACGATCGATCGATTGGTGTGGTAACACCCTTTAAAAACGTTTGACACGTAATATTACGCAAATCAACGCAGGTTGTTATTAAATTAAGCCGCCTACAAATCAACGCAGGTTGTTATTAAATTAAGCCGCCTATAATGTATAAAATTATAAAAAGCTTTAAAATTTCTTTTTAAATGAGCTATTGAAACATACCGTGTAGTGGCGGTGTAAGAATATCCAATATCCCATATCATCTCGTAGGTGTCGTAAGAGCATCAGCAGCAGAGCAGAGCTGCATCTTTCTAATAACAGCAAAATTACTATAAAAAACTGCAGTTGTCAACCCGCTTGCCAAGTGTGGCAACTATGGTAATATACCCCATGATAGAAAGTACAAAGATGCGGCCCTCAGTCCCCGCCGGCCACGCTAAGAATTTCAGTGGAGGTTACATTGCTACCATAGACGACTCAACCATACCTGAGCTCCGGAGAGAGGGAGAGGACACGGTAATCCTCGAATCCGGCAACGGCAACTTGTTGTATTACTCTCCCTGTCTGTCCCAAAGAGGTGTCGGATTTATCGTCCACAAATCTCTCGATGTCAATGTTGTAAAAATCGGGAGTTGTTTGAAAAGTGTTGCGTACCTTACACTTAGAATTACCAAACGGCATTCGTTGAAAGTCGTACAGGCGTACGCACTAACTTCAGCACATCTTCATGTGGCGGTGGAGGAAATGTGTGAGGATTTCTCTAGGGCCATGCTTTTCTCCAAAACCTACTACAACAAAACAAACGCACAAGAGATAACGATGACAAAATATAGGAAAATTCGGAATACGGGAACTAAACCTTAGGGGTCAACAGCCGGGCGATTTCATGGAGAAACAGGAAGTCTTCATGATGAACACTTTCTTCTAGAAGCGGCTCCACAGAAAATGGTCCTAGTCAAGTCTCAACAGTTCTACAAAAATGATATCGACCTCATTATGACGCCCAGATGGCAACAGTTTAGTGATGTCTCAGTGATTGTGAAGGTGAAAACTGGTGGCGATCACCGAATGGTAAGGGGCTCACTGAACCTTCATGTAAAGTTGGTCATGTCTATTGAAGTCAATGCTCTGTACCCATGCTCTAATCCAAAGCCCCAAAAGCTTTCACCTGAAATTATCCAAAAACTTTCTGTCAAAGTTTGAAGACCGACTGTAGCAGCGTCATTTCAAGAACATCTGAAATTCTGGGTGAGATTAAGAGGATCTACATATAGCTGTACACATTATTGTTGGAGCTGCAGTAACAATTCAAGAGTGAGTCCTATCTGGCACTTTTTTTTATAGAACAAAGGTGACAAACAAGCACACAGTCAACCTAACCGTTAGTAGATGCTGTGGGCTATAGACATGTACAACAAATCTTTAAGAATCAAAATGTAGATGTGTTTTCACTGCCAAGGATTAACTTGGAATGCCTCGTTTCCATTAAAAAGAGTCTCCGGTTCTCTATGCTTACCATATGAAACACAGCAGCACTAAGCTTCTATCTTACGCTGGTACTATAGTGTATAAAGAGAGTGTGGCCCTACCCCGGCGAGCTAATTCATTCATGCTACAAACATAATACAGCTGCAGAATGGCTCTAAGTGCTACAGCACTATTTCAATAATATCCCAGACGTCAGTCTAAGCGAGAATAGAATGGCACCTGAAAAATGGAAAGGCCTCAAGCAAGGATGGAATGACAGCAGAGCCCCACTAAATGGAGAGACGATCTTGTAAGACATGCAGGAAATTGATGGATGCTGGTGGCTAAGGACTGTGCTTTGTGACATTTCTTGGGGAGGTCTATGTTGAACAGTGGATTTATGAAGGGCTGTAATGATGATGATGATGATGAAGTTATATTAATAGAGCCTAAAAACTTGTACCTTGTTTGAACTACTAAAATTGATAATTACAATTTTATGCACAGATTTATCACTTGCTTGGCAATGAAGGTAATATTGTTAATTGTTAGGAAACCTACATAAATTAAAAAACATTTTTGAGGTCATATAAACTCTGCCATCAAACATAACGGCAGCACAATGGACTCTAAAAGCATTTTCTATACTCTTAAAGTCCTCTGAGAAGTGAGAGGAAGCCTGGGACAAGCAGTAGGATGCATAAAAATAGTTACACCCTATATACGTCCCACTGCTGGGCACAGGCCTGTTCTCATTTCTGAGAGGGTTTTAGGGCAAGGAAATGTCCACCACGCTGCCCCAGTACGTGTTAGTGATCTTCACGTGTCTTTGAAATATTTTTTCTCTCAGACATGCAGGTTTCCTCATGATATTTTTTTTCAATGCTGAGCACGTGGTAAATCAGCACTTAAAATTGCAATTAACAATTTAATTGGTGCTGGCGGGGATCATATAACTAATAAGTTGTATGCCTATTTATTCTACTAATAAATTCAGTTATTCAAGAAAAACCTACAATGCACTGCACTAAATATTATTTCATTATGGCCAATATAATAGGCTTTTTCAAGGCCAGTATAAAGTGATAAGATAACATAAATAACTTTAGGTGACATAACATTATTTTATTGAATAGATAATATTTCTAAATTAATAGAATTTTGGTGACCAAGCTTAACAAGGCATTAGAAAAAAAGATCACCTCAGAAATTACACCTCTTATAAACTTCATCTAAATCCAGGCAGTTTACGATGTAAGCAAGAAATGCTCAATTAAAGTATTATATATTCAAAATTTAAGAATATGATTCAAAATTTTATAAGCATTATTGAGATTTATTATAGCAGAAATTAAAAAAATCTCTTGCATTCATATAATATATATATCATTCATGTACCACATAAAAGAGCCACCCTGGACCAAACAGATTTGCTTGACCAGGAAAAGACAATTTAATTATACAATAGTGAAATGCTGCTGTGTTACATATTATGAGAAGTGATGAAAAACAGAGATCCATTTTACTGGTAATGAGGCATTCCATCTT